ATTACACCCACCTTATACGCCATTTGTCGCAAAGTTTTCTTTTTTTCGTAGTTTTGTTTATTTAAAATGTTTTATCTTTTAAACCGTGTGTCGAAATCTTGAACCATTTTTACCTTTAGATTCCTCGCGTCGAGATTTTCAAAACTAGATCACTTATTGATAGGTTTTGACAAACTTTTTTTCACGAAAGAATAAACTAAACCAGACGAAGAAACCAAACCGGGAGCACTGGTTTTTCCTTTTCCGAAAGAGGCACGTCCGTGCCTCTCGCGAAAGCACACCCAACCTCTCACGAAAAAAAACCGTGCCTCTTACCAAAAAAACAGAAAATGTGTTTTTTTTCGTTTTCGAGGAGGCACAGCCGTACCTCTCGCGAAAGCACAACCGTGCCTCTCGCGGAAAGGAAAAAATAGAAAATGTGTTTTTTTTTTGTTTTCGAGAGGCACGGTTGTGACTCTCGCGAAAGCAAAACCGTGCCTCTCGCGGAAGCAAAACGTGCCTCTCGCGGAAGGAAAAAAACGTGTTTTTTCGCGCAAATTTTTTGTGTCCAAAAGTTAAGGAAGACCGGTGAAAAACCGAAACGTCGAAAAAATTCGGGAAAAACCGTTTAAAAAGCCAAAAACGCGTGCGAAAAAATAAAGAAATAAAATCCAAAAAGGAGCGTCCAGAGCACGACAGATGACGGGACGGCTGAGAGCGCGCCAAGCGACGCTGATCGCTGTGAGACTTTCAAAAAAGCGCTTGTTAACTACTTGCTCTCTAAATGAATCGCCTACATTACTAAACAATATAACTCAACTAGCTACGAGCCCCCACAGCGTTTTGACGCTCTAAGCCGTCCGATCACTCTCATCTACGCACGAGATTTGTTCGTCTCAGTCGTGAACGCGGACTACTGAAAGCACCGTTTTCTGGGCTGCTGCTCCAGGGAACGAGTTACACTAATTATCCCTAATAGGGCCATTTGGTAGAAAGCCCACGAGGTCCCTCTAACAGGCCACGTCTCAAACCTGTCCTCGAGGTGTCCCCTCCTCCTCGGCGCGCCGCCGTCTTCTGTCTAGGCAACGAGCTTCTACTTCTTGTCTGCCACGCGCCTTCTACTCTTCCTCCGCAGGCCCCCACGACGGGTTTCTTTTTTCCCATGTCGTGGCCAGCAGAGTTCTTCCATGGTGGCTGCAGGCCAGAGCACGCGCCACCAGTGACAAATGAGCAACTGAAGGATTAAGGCCACGCGTGTATGTGGGTGCCTTTATGCCATCATCTTGAGTGTCACCTTGCCGCCAGCAGCTCTAGGAGAAAGAGGACAGCAACCTCTCAGGGGTAAGAGGAGCGCTGCTGCTCATTGATCAACACGGCGCAAACAATCCCAAGGCCAGGTGAGCTCTTTCCTTTGGTGATTTTATTTCTCCACTCCCACTCTGCTTATGTCCAGTTGTTTGTTACAGGTTTCCCCAGATATTAAGTAAACAAATTTGTACTCATTGAATTATAGGAAGTTGTGACCTGATATTTTCAGTTCACAGCTTATTACGCATGGGGGACATTTTCTGTCAATAAGTGAAAATTACAGTAATGACGCCTAAAGTATTTGTAACCAAACAATTGATGTAGCAATGTGGTTCATGTTAAGGAGATAGGGCTTTCTTTTGAGCTATACCTTCATCTTTCTCTTCTGATAGATGTATGTAAAGATAGATTATACTTGAATCTCTGAGGACACTGGCAAAGCAAGGCAGTTTCAGCAGCACGAATCTTTGTAGGCGTTGTTGCATGTTACCCAAGCAATTTGTAAGCATGCAAATCAGTTACTTACCTTAGGTTATCCTAATCATACCTACTTAGCATAGCATATATTTTACGTACATGCATATCAACTGCAGAAGATGCGCACAAGGAAGTTCAGGAAACTAGCATTTAAAAGCATCCTGAAAACTAATTTGTGGTGGCACTTGCTACAGAGATGTTATACAGGACATATCTTTCTTTCTAGACTTGTTCATGGTTATATACAATTCTTTTTTTTTTTTGCGGGAAGGTTATATACAATTCATTAAATTATTTTTTAAGTCAAAATTTGTATTCGAAGCTTGGAATGTTGGTAAGGATCCTGATTTTGAATATCATTTGTGCCTGGCTCCAGCATGCCCATTTTATCTAAGATAACTAATTCTATTGAGATATTCCACCGAAGAACTCTCAGAAAGTTCAATTATGTGCCAGAGTAAACAAGGTGAAGATAAAATGTTGCACTACATTTTTTGTTATGTCTATTTCTTGACCATTCCGATGATTGTAATATAAGACAAACATGAGCAGAGGATTCGTGATTAGTTGATCAGTTCTAATCAATGGTCGAGAGTTATGCTTCAGCACCTATAATGAAACATTGTAATTTAAATCATTAAAATTTTATCAAATGTTTATATTTTTCTAGAGGATAAACGGGCGCGGCAACGCGCGCCTTCATGGTCTAGTGTGACATCTAGAGGGCCGACCCAATAGCGCAAATTGTTCGCTACGAGCTGCAGGTTCGTTCAGGTCAGGTTTTCTATGGGTTTTATCTTTTTGTTTCTCTTTGGTTTTATTTGTTTTTTCATCGGTTTTCTATGGTTTTTTTTCATTTCCCATTGGTTTTCTTTGTTTTCTCATTTTTTTGGTTTTCTTTATTTTTTTGTTGTACATTAGTTTTCTTTGTTTTTTTCTTTGTAACTTTTAACCAGTTATATTTTTCCAAGGCATGTCTACTTTTTTCTCGGTACACAATATACAGTTTTAGGGCACATGTGAAACATTTTTATGATGCATATTGGCATTTTTCTAATATATAATGTACTTTTTAAAAATACATGTTTTGAACATGTACCTTTTTTTTAATATGTGTTTTGAACATGTACTTTTTTTAAATACATGTTTTGAACACTATTTTGAAATCACGATAACATTTTTTCCAAATAAACGTTGTATATTATTTTATTGGTAATAAAAAAAATCTGAACTATGTGTTTTTTTGTGTTGTATAAATACACATAAATTGCAAATTTTCTTATTTTATGACCTATATTTTTATTTTCTTATGCCAAATTTTACGTAGTGAATCAATAGGAATGTAACTATTTCAAATATAAACGTAATTTAATTATGAAATGATCGTAAAATTATCTTGGGTGAAAAATAACTTATTCTACCCCCTGGGTGATGAATAGTAACACTATTATATATAAATGAAAATCTTGCAGTTATGAAGAGAAAAGCGCCAGTAAACACCGTCGAGATTAATTCAAAGCAAAATGGAATGCAACTTGCTTCGACATTGCATGATAATTAACAGCTAAGTTTTATTCTCACAACATTACCGACATATTTATTTTCCATATATCCAATTCAAATTGACACAACAAGTATATTTTTATATAAAACAATGTTTGTTATAATATCATGATAGTCTACGCTGGGAAAAAAATCTTATCAACTAGGCTCGGCCCTCCATGCTCAAACCTTGGCTCCGCCCCCGACCTCACCTTCCCACTTCTTCAACTCTATGTAAGCTAGCTAATGCTCACCTTCCCACTCCTTCAACTCTATGTAAGCTAACTAATTACCCATGCAGTGCAACGTGAAAACATTTTTTGGCGATTTCATACCAATTACGAGTGTCACAATAGAGACATCGTAGTGCTTTTTCCCCTATGGACGTTTCATAAATTAATGAATGTTGTTAGTGTTTCAAGGGAATGATAGGAAAAGGAAAGAAAAGTATCGATTTCGTTCAAAGATTATTTCAACGTACTCTATATACACTAGTTTTTTTTTCTATGCGACATCATTTGAGATTACTAATAAAAAGTCTACGGAAAACCAAACGAGGATGCGGACATGGGAAGAAAAACCCGAAAAGAAGATGACGCTAACCTACCAACTCGGTTTTTTTCGGGTACCGACTCTCCTTTAATATTAGTAGAGACTAGTAGAGACTTGAGCTTTGTGACCTTTAAGGAATGCACGCAGGGGGGAGACCCCCCCTGTGACCGTAGTAAGGAAAATATCCTGAGTGCTGAGTGACCTCCCATTCCAAACTTTAACAAGTGGCAAACTGGACCAACTAATGAGCAAAATGGTGTCCACAAGAACACAAATACTAGTAATGCGCTACAACACCTCCTTATCTTCACCGTTATGTGCATGATCAACACCAAGTCTTCACATAGGTCTTCCCTTTCCCCTCTCTTGGGGGAGGAGATATTTTTGGATCGATGGATCAGCAGCGTTGCTCCTAGCACGGCTAGAACTAGAGACAATCCGGCCGCATTGGTCGGGTGAAAAGTCCCTTTCGAGACGGTTCAGGGCCATTCCACGAACCACATCTCGATCGAGGGTCTCGACATGCCTTTTCGTCCCTCCCCCGCTGCCCTATCCGCCCATCAACCATTTTTTAGCGCTAGGAACACAGCGCAATATTCCTTGACGGGATCGCCACCAACTGATCAGAGAGGCACATGCGCGCTCAGCAATTTTCCAGCTATTTATATGTAACGACGCTTTTGTCGAGTACTATGAAGTATGAACGCACAATTATTTCGTAGTCGGTTGAGCTGGCCCAACCCTGCCATCGAACAAGCGTCCGAGTAAATAATGTCACCCACACTGATTGGACATTTGAAATGGCTATGGATCTGCTGTTAGATTCAAGTTTTCCACGCTACTGATCGCTACTAAAGTAGCACTACAGCACCAAATCTGCAATGTGCATTTCATATATATATAGAGTAGTTTGGATCATATAGATAATGGTTACGTCAGATATCTTCCTAAAATAGTAAAGCTCTACAACTTCATCATCATCATGAAAGAAAGAAAATCAATCAATGAATCAATCAACTCACTAATTGCTTGACGCATTTCTATTCCGATGCAGTGTCATGCTTCGTCGATTTCATCAACGAATTAGTAAAACATGTTACTCCTTCCAATATGTATACTACTAGTGTATGTATGTATGTAAATCAAGTATTGACTTTCCTGCAATCCAGCCTGATCTCCCCGCTGGCCCCCGTGAGCGGGCTGACGTTGCCGAGGTTGATCATGGAGGCGGCGAAGTCGGCCGAGAAGGCGGCGGGGTTGGCGCTGTAGAGGCGCACCAGGGAGTCCACAGCCCCGTTGTTGAAGAGCTCCTGGTCGGAGCGCAGCAGCCCGGCGCCGGACATGAGGTTCCGGTAGTATCCGTTGTCGAACTCGTTGGGGGTGAGCGGGTCGAGCGGCGCGAGGCTGGCGTCGCCGCCGGAGGCCGGGCAGAGCTGCCGCTGCTGCGACGCGAAGGCCGGGCTCACGTTGGCGTCGCAGTAGACGTGGGTGCGGAACTGCACGCAGCGCGCCATGCCGACCGTGTGCGCGCCCGAGAGCGCGGCCAGGTCGCGCGACGTGAGCCCCTTGGCGGCGAAGGCGGAGACGAGCGCGGCGAGGTCCAGGTCCGGGCCCGGCAGCGTCCTCGCCCCGTCCGGGTCCGGGGCCGTCGCGTCGCGCCGCCCCAGGGGCACCGCCCAGCTCGGCCCGCCCAGCTGAATGCACGCACGCACGCACGACGAGTGTTTCATTCATGGCCGGCACGTTGGGGAAGAATTGCTATGGCGCGAGCGTGGGGTGGAGAGAGAGGGGCTGACCAGGTTGACGCTGTCGCGCGCGGCGAGGGCGAGGATGTCGGCGCAGGAGACGATCCCGGGGCAGGCGGCCTCGACCTGCGTCTTGATGTTGTCGATGACGTCGAAGCCGAAGGTGGAGCCGCCGGCGTTGGGGCCGGAGCTCTTCTCGCCGGGCGTGGTGGCCGTGTCGTCGAGCAGCAGCGAGGCGTCGCAGCCCTGGAAGAGCCATCATGCAAACCAATTCAGTCAGAGGGATCTGATTCACACGGACACGAACGTGCTGGAGACGCGTACGTTGACGAAGCAGTCGTGGAAGAAGAGGCGGAGGATGGCGGCGCCGGTGCGGGTGTCGTTCAGGACGGCCTGCGACATGACCTGGCGCACGGCGCCGTGCACGGTGGGGCAGCTCGCCGAGTAGAACCCCGCGGAGAGCTGCGCGCGGGCGCCGCGCGCGAGCACCACCGACGCGGCCAGGACCAGGAGGAGGATGGGTCTCGGCCTCGTCCTCGCCGCGGACACGGAGGGGAAGGCGGCCATGGCTGGCTTGGCGACCACAGTCCAGAGCCACCCGATCGGAGGAAGGTAGACCCGACCGCACTAGCGCAGACTCGGAAGCGGTGACAGAAACTGCCGTGGCTAGTGGCGCTTGCTTGGCGGCAACCAATTATTGTGGCTCGGTTGCTCGGTGCGGCGGCGGGTTGGGTTGGGTCGGGTCCAGCCGGGCGTGCTGCGCGGGACGGACTCTGGCCGGGCTCCCTCGGGGCGGGGTTGGGTCCGGTCCAGGGTCAGCGTCCGCCTTCATGTGGGTAGGCTGGACGTTGCTGGAAGCAAACGCACAGTTTACGATCCCATATTCTCCCATCCATAGTCCACTAGTAGAGTCTAAAAGGTGGACGGTGTGTGTTCCGCAGGGCATGATTGCAGGTACAGCTCTGGTTGAATCGGAGTCGGCTGGGTGGTCGAGGTCCAAATCAAATGTTTCCTTGAAAAATGCCGGCGACCGCCGCGTGTGCCGAGGATGAACGAGCGAGAGTGGCAACGCACCGCACCGACCATACATGGATTGTGATCCACCCAACGCCTCGGTTGGTTCTTTCTGGTGGTGAGCCATTTGGGCCAGGGCATACCGGGACGGCAGGGGCGTGCGGGCGCGTGCTGGTGGGCTGCCGGCGCTGCCCGTGGTAATGGTATGGTGGGGTTCGGTCGACATGGCCACCCACCCATCGCATCGGCTGTTTTCGCGTAGGGAGCAATCGTCCGTTAAAGTACATCAAGGGAGTCTACAGCAAACCTGGCCATAAGGGTCGTGTCTGATTTACCACGTGATACATGTGGTAAGCAATTTAAATAATTTAAAAATAAAAAGGCCGTGTCTGATTTTTATCAGGCACGGCACATAAATGAAAAGATCGAGCTGACCTTTGGCCTGCCATAGAACACAGCCGATAAGCCAGACCTCAATGCTGGGTCGACAGGGAAATAAAATGATCGAGCTTACCTTTGGCCTGCCATGGAATGCGGCCAATCCCCAAATCCAGGCCTCAATGCTGCCACAACACGATTTTTTTTATTTCCCCCTTTTTTAGATTTTTATGTATTTTTTTGTCTTTTTTGACAGAAACATAACACAAGCCAGATTGCAGCCGTGTCGCGCTGGGCCGGCCTTTTTATTTAGGATGTGCATTGTTGCACTGGGATGTGCATGTCATGTCGTGCTGGGCCGGCCCGGCTACTGTCACATCCCAAACCTAAATTTAGGATGTGCATTTTGATATGGACATAGACACCATAGATACATCTACTAGTATTACACGGCACATTTATAGAAGCATTGCATCCATGATTTCATTGCATATTTGGAATTTAGAGATCAAACATGATCAATTCTTAAACCCTAAGTCAAATTCGAGTTTAATTAAAGGCCGTGACTATTTCCTTTGAATAAAAGTTCTATCCAAGTTTCATAAGGGCAGTAAAGAAAGGATTTATATTTGCCTTATTTCCCTTGAGTGGTCAAAGGTTTGTAAGTGGTTTAAGTTTGGTCAATTTAAACTACAAGTAAATCCAGGGTTAAAAATAAAAATAATAAAAGCAAAATATTCAAATACTCCCTCCGTCCTAAAATAATTGTCTCAACTTTGTATTAACCTTAGTACAAAGTTGTACTAACATTGAGACACTTATTTTGGGACGGAGGGAGTATGAATTATCGAAAAGCCCATTAGGACAAGGGCATAAAAAGATTGTCAAAACTCTAGACAAGATATGCACCTATTCAGAAATATTCCAATCAGAATTTAGAACAAGTTTACTGTTGGAAGAAAAATCAAATTCAAAATGCATTTTGTAGAATTATATTGAATAATTGTTGATGCAATATTGTGCCGGTACAAGAAGTATATATAAGAGCTAAGCCGCACATGGCCTTAGCCTTATTACAAACCGAGTAGGAGTCATAATCCTAATACAAGTTGTATTCTAACATCCCCCGTGTCAACGATAGGCTAGACGACGTTGAGACTGAAACGAATGTCTTGAAACGGAGTAGTCGTCAGGACTTTAGTAAGATATCAGCAAACTGAGCAGTAGGCACATGGAGAACGCGAACTTGGCCGAGAGCCACCTTCCCTCGAACAAAATGAATGTCGATCTCAATATGATTGGTGCGACGGTGTTGAACCAGATTCCCTGACATGTAGACAGCTGAAATATTATCACAGTAAAAATGATTGCTTGCTCAATAGGACGGTGCAGCTCCGACAGCAACTGGCGCAACCAAACCGTATCAGCAACCGCATTGGGGCATCGAGCGAACCTCGGCGAAGGAGGGACGCAGACGCATCATAGGGATGAAGGAGGCCTGCTTCTCGAACCGCTCGCTGAGGCCGACGAGGAGGGCGTTGATAAGCTGGCGATCGTCGATCGGATCACCAAGTTCGCGGAGTTCATCCGTGATCGCCTTGAGGCGTTGGCAGTAGACGCCGACTGGTGAATCACCTTGCACCGTATTCTGAAGCTCGGTGTGGAGATTGTTGGCGCGAGTGTCGATGTTGTCCCGGAAGAGCTGACGAAGGGCCGCCCATAGATCGGCGGCGGAGGAACTGTCACAGTGGAAAAGATTGAATATCTGTGTGGAAACTCGCATGTAGATCCATTGAATAATGGAGAGATCATCCTTGACCCATTGCGGATCATGAAGTTGAGGAAGAGAGTCGTCGGCAACGTGAGAGCGGAGATTGCATCGCCCAAGGTGGATGCCGAAAAGGTGACGCCAATGGTAGTAGTTGTGAGCAGCGAGGTCTAGGATTACGGGGATGTAGGGGCTAATATCGGAGATGATGTCGGTGAAGAAGGTGGAAGTGGGTATTGGTGGAGGTAGAGCTAAAGTAGAGGTAGAGGCGGAGGAGGCCGTGGCCGCGGCGACCTTGGCGGCGCGCCGCTCGAAGTAGCCGAGCGGCGGCAGCGGTGGCGAGGCTGACGGGTTAGCCATACCCTAGTATCGAAAGTCTGATACCATATAGAATTGTATTGAATAATTGTTGATACAATATTGTGCCGGTATAAGAAGTATATATAAAAGCTAAGCCGCACCTGACCTGGCCTTATTATAAACCGAATAAGAGTCATAATCTTAATACACGTTGTATTCTAACACATTTGAATTTTCAAAGACAAGGGAGAAGGGAGAAAAAAGTCCCAGCCAGCCAGCCGACCGAGCCGCCGGCCCACCCACGCGCTCTCACTCTCCGGGAGAGGATTCTGACTAAAAAAAAAGCAGTGCTCCTTCCAGTTACTCGGAAAAAAAATTCTCCTAAAAAAATTCTGCTCTTTGAAGATCCAATGTACAATCTAGATTTACTCATCAATACATCTCACCTATGTATATTTTGGCCTACATCAACGACTGCTATTTCTTTCAACACCATTTCAAGGTTTCCAACTCTTGTCAAGTCCGTGATCACCTCCCAAGTGGTCTACCCCGTCACACCGCTAGTTATTCCGCCAACCATCTTGCTCAAAGTCAACAAACTTGAGAGAGCTTTCCTTTGGTCCGGTTCGGACAAGACAACGGGAGCAAAGTGCAAGGTCAATTGGGATATTGTTTGCCAGCCACTTCAATATGGGGGACTTGGGGTTCTCAGCACCAACAAGTTTACACGTGCCCTCCGGTTGCGATGGCCGTGGTATGAATGGAAGGAGCCCACCAAGATGTGGGTGGGGATGGGAAACCCGTGCGACGAGGAGGACCTAAGCTTTTTCTACGCTTCCACTACTATCACCATTGGCAATGGTGCGAAGACCCCTTTTTGGGACTCACCGTGGCTTCTTGGGCGCAAGCCAAAAGACATTGCCCCGCTCATTTACAAAGCGTCAAAGAGAAAGAATTGGAAGGTTCGGGAGGCCCTCTCACTCAATGCATGGATCCTCAAGATCAAACCGCCCACCATCATCTCCGCGGAGCTCATCACACAGTTCTTCACTCTTTGGGCGCTTTTGCATGAGGTCCAACTTGATGATCTCACCGAGGATGACATTGTCTGGAAGCATACGGCTAGTGGAATCTACTCGGCGGCATCCGCATACGAGGCTCAATTCTTAGGGATGGTTCTTACACCCTTGGACAAAATGGTTTGGAAGGCTTGGGCCCCCTCAAAAGTCAAGTTCTTCGCTTGGTTGGCGCTACAAGACAGAATTTGGACTGCTGATCGTTTGGCAAAACGTGGGTGGCCCAACTGTGGTCTCTGCCCACTCTGCATGAGAGTGCAGGAATGTGGGCCTCACCTCTTCTACAAATGCCGCTACACACGAATGCTTTGGTCTTTGATCATTGACAAATACCATATTCTTGGTCTTCACACCAACGGTTGGCCCCTGTTCGACTCAGTTGAGGCTTGGTGGGCAAGTACCTGCGACAACGCCACTCCAAACCGCCAAGCTAAGGCGTCCCTCATCATGCTTGTTTCGTGGACTGTCTGAAACGACGAAACGCAAGGGTCTTCAAGCACAAGAGCGCTCCTCCAACTATTTTGCTTGCCTCCATACAGACCGAGTCCAACCTTTGGGTCATCGCCGGTGCCAAAAAATTAGGGTCTATTATTTCGCGAGAGTGATGTCATGCCGTGTATTGAGTGACTTGTAACAAACTCTATTCTCTCTTATTTAATGGATGAGGCAAAGCTTTTGCCTCCGTTTCAAAAAAAAAAAACATGCTCGAACACGTGACAGCATGCACTGCATACCAAGAATTGAATGTCTGAATTTTTCTACTTCTGACGCATAATTCCGTCCACTGACATGCACCATCATCTATCTCCGTGGAACCATTTGCCCGGATTCATCCTTCTCAAATATCCTCGCGATCCACTCATTCCAAACCATTCTGCGCCTGCCACTGTCAAGCAGCACCGGCGATGCCTGGCGCTCCTCCGGAGTTGCATTTTCGTCGAATGTTCCGTATGTTGACGGCAGGTTAACATCTGCGATCCCTAGCGTGACAGCATGCCTCAGGGCCGCCTGCTGCTCCTCAATGTGATCCCTTGTTGCCGCGGTTTCGCCATCCATCCTTTGATTTTCCGGCGCTTTCATGGTCCTCTCATTCTCCAGCATCAACTGAAATGTCAGGAAGAGACTATTTTGTAGGCAATTTGTGCATCACAGCAACTGTACAGATAAAGACCTGGAGAAAAATATCTGGCTAGTGATGGAGAAGGGATGATGCTGAAAGAAGGTGCCACGGAAAATCAGTGCAAATTTAAGTTTTGAAACTTCAGCGTTGATGATTGGTTAGTGACGGAGTACACTATGTGAATGGCACTTTTATGACACTAACTCAATAAGAGGAGGACAGGCGTAGGCTTACATCCACTGCTCTTTGGGCTTCCCTTTCTATCCAGATAATGGCATGGTCAGAAATTGCGTTGCAAGAAAGAACTATGTGCTCGAATCTGCCATCCACTGGCACTGCTGTTCTAACGGCAGGCGGATATCTTCCACATCTGCAGCAGTTATTTCAACAAATTATAAGTCTCAACCAATGTCATAAATCCAAGCAAGAAAAACTAAAACCAAAATCACCAAGGATCTCTACAGCATTTCTCTGGTTCACATACTAGAGTAGAATGTTAGTTGTACGAGCTAATGAATTGAACAGTAGTACCTTATATTTGTAGGAAAACTTCAGTAAAAACATTTCCGGTAAAATCATACTACCTGAAAGGCTTCCTTTCTACAATGTGGTAAAGCCGGCCGGGTGCGTAGAGACGCCTTGGATCTCTCAACATGACACTTTCAGGTATGCATGTAGCTATCAGGCAGTTCCCACACAGAAGGCATGGCAAACTGTAGTACAAAGGAAAGGGGATTGCATCAGGCACCCTGAAAAGATATTACAGGCTAGTGACAGAATGAACCCCGTTGATGATGGTTTCTTTACCAGAAAAGTGACTTGATAATGTCTTCCAGAGGAATGTCGGTGCGAGGCAGAAAATCATCCTGTAATTTATCAAACATGAATCAGACGATACAAACAGAATTCAGCTGGGTTGTTTATCCTAAACTGGCATGGAGTCTCACTCTCACCTGAAGAATAACCGAGTTAATGACGTCGGCATAACGGACAGCCAGATTGAGCGACATGCACCTGGGAGGCGCCATGGCGAAGCACCGTACCCTCCTCCTCTCCACGCCGCCCAGCCGGTCCCGGTCGCGCACCGCCAGCAGAGCCAGCATGGCCGCGACGCCGGAGCCGAGGGAGTGCCCGGCGAACGTGAGCGTGTAGCCGGGGTTGGTGGCCAGGAGGTCCCGCAGCGCGTCGCACTCGGCGTCGAGCACCCACTCGGCGGCCTTGAGCAGGCCGTTGTGCACGTAGCCGCCGTCGAAGCCCGCCTGGCCGATCCTGTTGTCCAGCAGCACGGCGTAGTCGCTCTCCTTGGCCATGTCCATGCCGCGCACGGCGAGCACGACGTCCGCGTGCCGGTGGTCGACGTACAGCAGGTAGGTCGGGGCGCGCCCGTGGGTGTGCTCGGGCGTCCTCCGCCGCACCACCCACCGGGGCTCGATGCCGTAGCCGCCCGGAGGCGCCCACTGCGGGGTCTCGAGGTCGTCCTCGTAGACGGCTAGGATGAAGCGGCATAGCCGCGGCACGGGCTCGAACTCCCCCGGCGAGGCGAGGCCCCAGGTCTCGCTGTCGTAGCCGGTGGTGTGGAGGCAGCGCTGCCACACCCAGCGCGTGCATGCCAGGCAGTACACGCACTCCACCACTGGCAAGCAGCACGCGATGGACATCACATCCACGTCGGTGGGAGCTCACGGTTCAGTGGTGTGACGACGCCCACAAATGGCAGGACTGCAAAAAAAGAAAGAAATACTGTATAAGGCTGGGTTATTCAGAGAAACATTCAGAAAGGATTTGCTTGCTACTGGGGCAATGATAAGGCTGGCTTTGTGAAGTTACTGGGGAAATGTTAAACTTAGGATGAATTTCGAATACAAAGAAACGGGGATTGTGAATCCTATGTGTGATGGGAAAATCGCGCGAAATCATTAGGGGGTATCGAGTTCCAGCGGTGAGATTCATCACGGATTAAGCTAGGGATTTGCTCAGCTGAGACAACTAATTGCAAGAGGGGGGCAGCGGCGGCCGGCAGGCCATGCAGCATAAGAGAACAAGGACCTCCATGCATCAAATTGCAGTATTGATTCTATCCCCTGTTCCTGCCGCTACTGTAAATAGATAGAAATCACCGAAATAAACCTCTCTTCTGGGACTTGCGGAGCTGGGAACACATCCGACACCAGCAAGGGAAGGGAGGCAAGGCAATCAGGTGCGATACTGATACTGAAGAATACGGTTACTGGAGACATCTTGGTACCTTGAAGCAGGAGGAGAGGCATCGGAGACGACGAGTAGGTAGCGCCCAGACGAACAGCAGCAAAGCGGCGAAACCAGATGCAGCTACCTTTCTTTGTGTCGAGGCAAGAGTTTCGGAAGCAGCTGCGATTGCAACCTGCAACTACAAGTCAAAGACGGGGGATCACGGCGGCAGGGGACGTGTGGCTATTTTTTTTTCTCTCCCTGACGCCAATCACTCCACATGTTGCTTTGTTTGTAATCTGTGTCATAGACAGAATTTACTCCGTTGTCTCCACGGGAGAAAAAAAATACATTATCATTTTTTTTCATTATCATTATCATTGTCTTTTCATTAATAGAAGAAATTAGAACAATGGCTAATTAAGATTAGGCCTAATCAATTTTTCTGCCAATCTAACCCCTAGACACTGACAGTGGACCCCCACCAGTCAATTAAGTTAACTAAAACAATTTATTAGCTCTGTCCCTATGACATATGGGTCCCACTAGTCCCATTGACCAGTGAACAGTCAAACTTTTGACTGCTGACTCAGCTCAATGGCCCCACTTGTCACCCACACACGCACCTCTCTGGTACACTCTATGTGTACCCATAGCAATATATTTATTATATTTTTGATTTGAAATAAATCCAGTAATTCAGAAACTCATTAAAACTTTGTAAAAATAATATAAAATAAATCGTAACTTGGATGAAAAAATATATATATATATATATATATAAATGAGAAGAATCTGTTTATGCCCTTCACGTACCTGTCACATGCCTCTAACACTGCAAACATGGAACCTTGTCCTTCGGATCGTTTGTCTGATAACTGCCTAAAGCCGGGAAAATATTCACAGATATTTTCCCACTCCGCCTGTAACGCGTAGCACTGCATTAGGTCATCCTAGCATAGCATATTGCCATGTCATGCATTGTGATGCATTTGTTTGCTTTATATTTAGAGAGAATTCCTTATTTGACACTCCCTTAAAATTATGTTCCTTATTTGACACTGAAAAAAATTTCTTCCCTATATGACCTATAATCTTAATTTCTTTCCCTATATGACACTCTAGTTCATTTTGTACACGTGAAAAGACCTTTTTGCCCCTGTACATAATGTGACCAGAAATATGTAGCATTGAGCCTAATTAGGGAAAATTCGTTTATGAGAGTGAGCACAGCTGAACATGTTATCTCCTCCGTTGGTCTTTTTTGGGATGCGTGTGTATTCTATATACCTGAGCGCATGCATCCAATGTATTTAGAACGTATTCAACTGTGGGTCTAGTTTCATGCGGTATGGTTTGTGAGTGCGACTGTTTGACGTACTTTTGTACGTGTGCTTTAACACTAAAATGCATTCTTAAAAATGAATGAATTTTTTAAGCACTTTTGTGTGTGCTTCGGCGACCACCTACGTGCATGCCATTAGTGCATCTGCACGTATTTGCATGGCCCATGCAGGACCTATAGCTGTATGGAAGGAAGTTGCGTGCTAGCACGCTAGCACGAACGTACGCCCGGTTCGGTGCAGCCAACATGCGTATGTATATGAACCGGGTCATACGAAGCTAGAATACATGTATTCGCTTGATCGTCAGGGTACGCGTACGTATTTAAATATCTACGCTCCGGTAGGCAAGCTGGCCGCGTATATGTACACAAATATGTATAGACAACTAGCCAGACCGGTCAATTAGCACATGAACCATCGAAGGCCTCGGTCATGATTTCTTGTACCGGCTGGAGATTTCCAAAGAGCGAGAGACAAAGGCTCTGTTTGCTTCAATTTTTTTTTGAATTTCGTTTGCTTCAATTTGTATCGATGGATTCCGCTGTCGCACAGGGTCAAAGATTTAAACAACCTTCAAGGGGTTGAGGTAGGGATGCGTTTATCTTAAACAACGTTACATCCATATCGCACCATAAAAATCGGAACGGCAATGGCCAGCGCCGGACCTTCTCCAGCTGCCTATAAATACCGAGGCACAACGCACGCACAAAAGGAGGCAACGCACGGCGCACCCACGGGGAGCCACCAAGAGATCCATCCATCATCCATCCATAGCATGCCTCAAGCATCACGCATCAGCCAGGAGATCGACGCGAGCTCGGCTGTCTTCTGGAGTAGATGGCCGGGAGGGAGGTAGCATAGCCGGCTCCGGCCGTGTTGCGGTTGCTGTCCAGCCGACTGACTCTGTCCGCCCACCCCGCCACTTATCCAGAGGAAAATCCTAAATGTAGTAGACTTGACCTGATTTTTTACCGGCCGGCCTAATTCAACAGACTTTTCAAAAGCATATTTGTGGTCACATTATACATATGGGTAAAATGGTCTTTTCACGTGAACAAAATGCACTGGAGTGTCATATAGGGAAAAAATTAAGACTAGAGATCATATAGGGAAGAAAATTTTCTTCAGTGTCAAATAAGGAACACAATTTTAAGAGAGTGTTAAATAAGGAATTCTCTCTTATATTTACTACTTCTTCCCCCTCTTCTCTTCGGTAGACCCTGAGACCGGCGATGCTCCCGAGAACGACTACGCTCCTGACGTCCAATCCCTTTCATCAGAGCTTCCAAGCGAGCAAAACCCCCTTGATCATTTCTATATTGCCCACTTTTCTCTCTCATGCTTGCATTAGATTTTACTATTGTTGTTCGATGGCTTCTATTCTAATGCATAGCCTGCTTTTGTAACATGTTGTTGTTACTTTACCTGTTATCCTATATGCTTAGTATAGGTTGGTTAGTGATCCATTAGTGGCCCTGCACCCTTGTCCGTGTTGCCATGCTTTGCTTACGGATGACCCGGTCAATGTGATCGAGGTGCATAGACGGACACATCACCAGCACCCCCCTTTTGTTGTACGACTATGTAGAGTTACTATCGAGTACCGAGGGTGATACCTAGAATCTCACTCCTGATGATATATCTGTAGTGTAGCTAATCGGTCATAGATTACCGAGGGTGATTCCTCATTCACCACTCTTGATGATGACTTTGTCGTGCAACACCTCAAGTGTGAACCCTTCGAGGGTGATTCCTTCAAGATCACCTTGATGGTTACATCGAGTAGGAATCCATCGAGGGTGATTCCTCATATTCTCCCTTGATGTTATGGACACACGAATACCTTGACCTTCACCTCAGTCCTTTGTTGAAGTAGGGTCGACCCAAGGGGTGCCCGCGAGAGTTATGGAAGTCGGGTTGACCATGCACTACAAAAAAAAGACACATCCGTGACATTTTGGGCCGAACGAATTTTTTTTGTCATGCTTATGACACTTCTATGATGATAATTATGACAAAACCCGGTATCATCATAGATGTGGTGGGCTCCTACTTCTTTGACAAAAAAATCATAACAGAAAATGGGTTTTTCGTCCTGGGCGGGACGGAGACGCAGCTGCATGATATTCTTTGGGCCGTGCATGACAGATAAAACCGTGGTAGAAGCGAGGACGAGGAAAGTATCGGGGAGTTCCCGGTTACGGTGGGTGGTTGGGGCCGAGCGATACACGGAGGTTTGCGCGTTTCTCTCGTACACGTACGCGGTGTGTGTGCGAGGCGTTGCGCTCTAACTGAACCCGAGCGATTGCACTAGCTATGTTATTGAACCCTGATCGATCCCTTGTTGTTAACTAAACCCGAGTGATTCCTTCGCTACTGCTGCTAACTGAAGCTGTTCGATGCTGCATTTGGATGAACAGTGAGCGTTGTTGGGGAGGGAGGGAGTTGGATGAACAGTTCCCAGTGGGGGGTTGGATGAACAGGACCCCGTGGTAGTAGAGGCCGTTTCCACTGGATGAACAGGACCTCGATCGAGCCGGTTGAGGGTGGATGAACAGGACCCCGTTGAGGGCTGGATGAACAGGACCCGTGGAGGGCTGGATGAACAGGACCCCGTGGAGGGCTGGATGAACAGGACCCCGTGGAGGGCTGGTTGAACAGTAGCCCGTGGAGGGGTGGTCGAATAGTAGCCGGTGAAAGAGGGCTGGTTGAGTAGCCGGTGGAGGAGCGGTGGAGGCTGGATGAACAGGAGCCCGTGGATGAATAGTCGCAGGTGGAGGCTGGAGGAGGTCGACGGTGGATGAACTGTAGCCGTGGAGGCCGGAAGAGGTCGACGATGGAGATGAACAGTATCCCATGGAGTCCCGTTTTGTAGTACGCCACACCCCTCCCGATGAACAGGACCCCCGTTTCGACCGTAACACTCCAACACAAGTCCATTTCGTCCGTTTTGCGGTACGCCACACCCCTCCTGATCAACAGGACCCCATTTCGACCGTAGGAGGTCCAAGAAAACTTTCTTTCCTCCATTTTGTGGTACGCCAAACCCTTCCAAACGAACAGGATCCCATTTCGACCGTGGACGGTCGAACACAAGGCCGTTTCCTCCGTTCTGCGGTACGCCA